TTGTCAGAGTACTCCGAGAAGTATCCCGCCTATAAAGGGCACACACAGCCCAAGAGCCTCAAGCCCCAACTGCAGTATAAAGCTCATCAGGACACAATGGAAGGAACAACCACCTTCAGGTACATTCTGGGAATTCGTGGCTAATCTTTAATCAAATTATTTACTGAGTTTTATACGTACATTAACAGCTGACCTACTCACTAGGACTGGATCAATTATTATTTTTTAAATTGAAGAAGAAGAAAAAGAAACGCAAAGTGGCAGTAAACTAAATCTTAAAACAGCTCCTCCGTGTCCTTCTGTTGGCTTCAGAATGTCACATAACCTTTTTTGTTTTTCTTTAACTGTATGTATAGGATGGACTATATCCCGTATATGGTCACCCGTCGCCCTGGGAAGCTTCAGGCCGAGTACAAGCCCAAGCCTGGAGAGATTGACTTAGGAACGACCTATAAACAAGACTTCAACCCATATGAAGTGCAACCATTTGTTCCTTGGCGTCCTAAAGAGAGAGTACATACCACGAATGTAAAACTGGACACCATACCCACCTATACAGGTAATGACAATCTAGGTCCGTTAGGTCATGTGATGCTTTCTGAGCATGCGGTTTCAGAATACATACTGAACAACTGGAGTATTGTATTAACAACCACATGTAGTTATCAACTGTTACTTGAATGATAATCAAGTTTATTAAGATTTAAATGTATTTATACTCAGCAAGGAACATCATAAACACTACTGTTCAAAGGTTTGGAGTGAGTAAGATTTGTATTGTTTTTTAAATTTATTTTAAATTTATTTATTTGTTTATTTATTTAAAAAAATAATGCTTTTATTCAGCAAGGATGCATTAAATTGATCAAAAGTGACAGTAAAGACATTGCTGTTTGTTCTATTCGTCAAAGAATCCTGAAAAAAAATCTATCATGATTCCCAAAAAAATATTAAGCAGCACAACCATTTTCAGCATTGATAATAATAATAAGAAATGTTTCTTGAGCAGCAAATCAGCATATTAGACTGATTTCTGAAGGATCATGTGACACTGAAGACTGGAGGAATGATGCTGAAAATTCAGCTTTGCATCACAGAAATAAATTACATTTGAAAGTATATTCAAATAAACAACAGTTATTTTAAATTGTAATAATATTTCACAATATTCCTGTATTTCTGATCAAATAAATGCAGCCTTGGTGAGCGTAAAAGGCTTATTTAAAAAAAATATTAAAACATTTTACCAACCCCAAACTTAAGAGTATGAATGGTAGTACTGTATATCATAAAAGCCAACAATATTTTCAGTACACAGTACAATAGCTTGTTTAAAACTCAAGTGAAATGCATAAAAAGTAAATGCCTTTGTTAGTAAAAGTTGTGTATGATGTTTTAAAGAGGATTTTCGTCAGTGGGAGATCAGCAGACGGGAACTGACTAAGCCTGACACACCATTTCAACCCCCTTCTGCAAAGTTTGGGAATTCCACGACATTCCAGGACGATTTCATCCACCGGGGCCTCGTGCCACGAGAGAGCTACAAGCCCCCTAACATAGCCAAGCTATCCGATACTCCTTTCGAAAACATGACCAGCAACAAGCTCTCATATGTTCCACACGCTCTAGAAGCCCGGTACATTAAACCGCCAATAGAATACAAACCCAGCAGCCAACCTTTCCAGGACCTCACCACCCAACGACAAGACTATCAAAGCCTGCCGAGTCAGCCAACCAAAAGCTGCAAGCCTGAGCTGCTCAAAGTGGCCACTGACAAGCCCTTCCAGGGCAGCACGGAATTCCGTGACCGTTTCCAGCAGTGGCCCGTATCTCTCCGACAGATGCAGAAGTCGGTGGAGTACACAAGTCCAACGGAGCACATGGACCTGACTACCACCTCGCACACAGACTACATCAAGCACCAAATCCAGCCCTTCATTTCCGCCAAACCCTTCTCATTTCCCACAAAGTCCTCCAGGCCCTTTCAGGGAAACACCACTATGAGAGATGACTTCCAGCCGTGGGTGGCGCAGCGTCAAAGCATGATCCGGAAACAAGAGGAAATCCAGCGAGCCAGTGGGAAAATAGAAGATCTGACCACTTTCAGGGCCCATTTCATTCAGCATGAACCTCAGCCTAGTTTCAGCTTCAAGCCCCAAAACACATCGCTGTGGACCAACGCTCCCCTACAGAACGAGACCATGTACTGCACAGAGTTCACGCCCAAGAAGATCAACATGTGTCTGGCCGGTTTCGAGTATCCACCGGGGTTTGTTTTCGATAATTGTGACGATCGAGGCCACCGCTTTTTCCGCAAGATGACGTCCGCTGACAAGTTTGAGACGCCGAAGGAAATGGTCTTGACAGCTTAATAAAGTCATCATGTTGTTTCTATAAAAGGAAACCAGTATACAATATGATCTCTCTAAATTATTGTAATGTTACAGGGAATCGTAATGAATTACGATTAAAGGTCAGTGGGTTGAACTATTTCATTAAACATTGATTATGCATAGTTTAACATTTTAGCTAGTTTTTAATGTTCATTAGGATGAAACTGCAGTACAGTTATGTAGGATATAAAATATGCAGTGAAAGTACTATAATATGTCAAATAAATCCGTTTTTGACAATACCAGTTAATTAGTTAAATATCAAAATCACTTCTACACTACCATGTAAAAGTTTACATTTTTAAAAATGAAATTAAACCTTTTCTTTAGCAAGAACACATTGAATTATTCAAAAGTGACAGCATAGACATGTTACAAAGAATGTCTATTTAAAAAAAAAAATGCTGATCTTTTGAAGAGTCTTTAAAAAATGTAGTACGGTTTCCACAAAAATATGAAGCCGCATGACTTTTTCAACAATGATAATAATCAGAAATGTTTCTTGAGCAGCAAAT